AAGTCTGCATGTTTTGTCCTCTGGGGGGTGAGCGATATACGGCTCTGGGACAAAAATCTGGCGAAGTCCTTCATATATTGGCAAACAAGTAAGTCGGGCCTACATGAGAACTGGAAGGAGGTTTCTCTCCCGAAAGTTCTATGACGCTCAAGTCATTGCATGTCTTACTGGGAATAAGGGTAGATATATGGAGGTTTTTATGGTTTGGGTACCCCGTCCAAGGATTGTGATATCCATCTGATGTTTGATGAGGGTAGAAGCATAATCAATGGACTATGAAGAGAGCGGAGTAGGAACTCTCTCTGCACGGGTGTAAAAGGAGGGATAAAAGGGGAATGGGACACTAATTTTGGCTGGCATACCTTCGCACCGAGATGCTGCAGCTCCTCCAGACGGAGCACCGAACCCCAACAGCAAGGGATCAGAGAAAGTTGTCGACACCTTGGGAAGACGAGCCTGCGGGGCCTGGTGGAGAGGAGGCTACAACAAGGGACCAGAGAAAGCTGCAAAACCCTCGAGAAGATGAGGCTGCAGGCCTTGGTGGAGAGGAGTTCACGAAGAACAGCTCACTCCGGGGAGAGGCTCACACCTCGATTGGTGAGAACGTTTGTGACTGTCATGCCTCAAGAATCGAGCGAGAAACCTTTGAGCCTGGGGGCACCTTTAGGAAACTGGAGAAAAGCCGAAAGTGACTGATGCCTAACCAATCGGGCTTAAGCAATGGAGGAAGCGGAATCCTAATCGACCATATCGACTAAACTCAGAGTAAGATCGCGAAACCGATCAGAAAAAGAAGGGGATGTAAAGCTTGGTCGAGGTACACTTTGAAAGAAGAAGTGAAGAAAGCAATCCCACGCTCCACCTATTTATTGGGTTGGCAGAAGACAAGGAGCCAGTTGCAAATCTTGGGCCAACGATGGGAGACGATAAAAACCGAGGAACGAACTTGTAATTAACTTTGTCTCGAGCCGTGCACCAAAGCAAAAATCCTTTAATGTAATGATTGACGTGATACTTCCTGACCTAGGGATGGGAAGAAGTGCTATTTTACAAGAAGCAAGGGAAGTAGTGCAGCGTTACTCCCCATGCGGCAGGCGAAAAAAAATCTGCCATGTGGATCACACCACTAACGAAAAGAAAACCACCTGACCAGGAGAACAATGGCTTCCATCCCAGCGAAGTAGCACGAGGACGACCAAAACCCCCAAAAACATATACGAATGAACATCCCCGCCAACAGAAAGTCACAACACAATGATATGAGTTCTCAGGCCCTACAGGAAATAGGTATCGCCCCAGGTAGCCCTTACTCATGGGGCAAGTCGCGCAGGCCCGCCCATTGTTGTGCACTCGCGAGCGAGCTCTTTTATCATTTTTGTTTGGCACATGCATCCATTCCATTCCTCGTCTGTATGGTTGCATGATTCTTTGCCTGAGTGATTTCATATCTAAATCATTCCTTGCTTGCGTGATTGCTTGATTCCCTGTTTGCGTTGTTGCATGTTTCTCTGCTTGAGTGATTTCTTGTTTAAATTACTCCATGCTTGCGTGATTACTTCTGTTTGAGTGATTTCCTTCTTTGTGTGATTGCTTGATTCATTGTTTGCGTGTTTGCATGATTCTCTGCCTGAGTGATTTCCTTTCTTAATTACACAATGCTTGTGTGATTACTTGATTTTCTGTTTGAGTGATTTTCTTGCTTGTGTGATTACTCGATTCCTTGACTGTGTGATTTATTACCAGCTTGAATCCCTACTTGCACGTTTACTATATCGCCTGATCTTCCAAGCCCTGCGGTCCTTTGCCTTACTTTCCTATCTTTGTTTACCGCTTTCCATTATTCTATCCTCATTTGCATTTACCTTACTTTCCATGAGCATCATACTTATGATCCGAATTTCCATAAAACCCCCTTAATTCAAATTTCTTCTCACATGCTCCCTCATGGACTTGTTCGCCTTCTTGGGCACCATTTCTCCAGGAATTCTGGACTGCGGTTCTGCAGACCTCCGAGTCCTTTTGCCAGCTCCTTCTAGGGACTGCGAAAATCTTTGACGTGCTCCTTCTGGGGACGCACCAGCCTTCCGAGCACTTTTACTCTGGGAATTGAGACTGGTCCTACAGACTTCTGGGTCTTCCTCACCAGCTCCCTATAGGGACTGTGTGGGGACCATCTTTTCACCCCCTTCAGGTGCTATCGGTGGTTCTTGGGTAGGTGTCTAAAAACTGTGTTATTGCCTTATGTCGATCCCCATGGTCACATAAGGCTATAATTTCCTCACAGTCCCAGTGGGGAAGGAATACGATTCCTTCCTAGTGCCGCACGAAGCAAGGAGTAAAATTCATCCGGGGAGATGCTCATCTGTGGGCGACCAACAGTTTTTCCAGGAACCTAACATCCTCCTATTCTAGACAAGCATGTAATCTTCCGAGATGCATGCCCGAGTCGGGGTAGGACCCAATCTAAATGTTCTCCAAAGAACCTAACCATTTCTCTGGAAATTCATCTGTTTTTCCGGAAACTCAGCTTCGCTCCGACTGAATCAGTACTCTTCCAGGATGCGCGGAAAGGTCGAAGTGAGCCGTTTCAATCATTTATCTGGAAAACCCATTTTCACTTCGACTATACCTGTACTTTTCCAGGATACACAGCAGGGTCGGGATGAACCGTTCTAACACAGCTTAAAACCAGCCAAAACTTTGGGTATCAAATGAACTTTGATTATTTTGCAGGAACAACGAAAGGATCGACTCCCTGACTCATTTCCATTCAGTTGAGAAATCAGGAGCAATTATTGGGCCCACTTTCACCGTGTCTAACCCTGAGGTGACACGTTGCCATTAGATCCTACCGAGCGTTGACTTCTTCGCTTAAGCCTGCCAACGACTCCCTAACGAACTATTTCCGGGCATTTGGCAAGTTCCAAGCCAAAGGTGTGCTGCACCAGCCCACCTGCTCCTGCCATGCGCCACATCGATGGGACAAGACAGGGAGAAAAGGTATATAAAAGAGAAGCTAAGGTTAAAGGAAGAGGGGATCCCAAACCTGGACAAATCCGGTCTTAGAGAGATAATACACCAGAATAGAGAGATAAAGGGAGGAGGAGGAGAGACTTCCGACCTTCACCTCACCAGAGCTTGCCGCAGTCCTGTTCAGACAGCGAGACTGAAGGAAGTATGCTCACCGTTCCTCGGAAGGAATGCCAGCCGAAATAAGCGCTACATTCCCCTTATATCCCTCACTTATCACTCGTCCAGAGAGAGTTCCTACCCCACTCTCTTCATGGTCCATTCATTATGCTTCCATCCTCACCAAACATTAGACGGATATCATGATTCTTGGACGAGGTTCCCAAACCATAAACACATCAACATATCTATCCTCTTGAGTTTATGTTCTTTGTTGGACGTGCATTGACTTGAGTGTCAGAGAACTTTCGGGAAGGAAATCTCCTTCTGATTCTCCGTGAAAGCTCGACTTACTCATTTACCAGAATATGCAGGACTCTGCTAGACTTTTGCCCCGGAACTGCATACCGCTCATCATCCATAGAACGAAACTTGGAGACTCAGCTCTGCTACCCAGATAATTACACCCATATAAACATTCTGTAATTTACATGCGAAGTAAAAATTAGTCACTAAAAATATTAATTTTAAAATAAATTATTGTAAATTTTATTTTAAAATATTAAATATACATAGAAATTATATTAAAAATGAAATATTTTTTGTTAATAAATAGTCTAAAAGTAGATATATCTGAGTTAATATTTATAAACTATTAATTTTTTATCTAATAAAAATATTTTTAATATTAAGTTTTTATCCAATAATTTTTTTTAGTTTTATTATTTTGATTAAAGTAATATATAATATTTTAATAAAATAAAATTTAAATTTTTGATCAAATTTTTTTATTTGTATAAATTAATTTTATCTTTCAATTTTTAAAATTTTAGTTAAACTAAAATATTCATAATATTATATATTTTTAACATATTTAACTATTTTTATATGATTTTATAAAAATAATATTAGTTCAAAAATAAATTACTATAAATGTTTATTAGATTAAATTTTTATTTTTATAATTTTTTTCATTATTATATTTTTTTTATAATTATTTATGAACTATTTGTTAATCTATACATTTTTGTTTCTAATGTAACTTTTTAACATATATTTTTATTTGTTAATAATTTGAGTTATTGATATTTTGTTTTTAAAATTCGAATTATAGCCTTTATGCAAATAATTTTATATATTTTTATTATATTAATAATTTTTATTATATAGATTATGTAATAATTTTTTATTTTATAAAAAGAAGAAAAAAATATATTGATGAAAAAAATTATGAACCTCAGAAAATATTATTTCGATAAAAAATTATTGTAGCCGGAAAACGGTTGATTTATTATTAAAAAGTTTTAGAACTTTTGGAACCAGAATTAATAAAAAATATAGAGGAAACAAAGATAAAACGAATCAGTATACGCCGTACACGTGGCTATCATCGACGGAGGGAAGGAGCTCTTATTTGTTGACCTTTATCAGTGTCTGATGAAGCTAAATTCGAAGCATTCGATTTCGCACGACGAAGGGAAGGAGCTCTTATTAGTTGACCTTAATCAGTAATGGCTCTCGAGGTGAGTTAAATCTTCTTCACTATATTTTGTTTGTTGTGGTTTTCGATTCGTAGGTTCTGGATTCTGATTTCAATACTCGATTTCGTCGTTAAGTTCTTCGTGTCCTCGTTTTTTTTTTTTTTGGGTTCAATTATGGGTTTAATAGGTATAGATTCGTGTGATAATGATTCTGGTTTCTCTTTCGGCTTTTTAGAAGATGATCTTCCGCAATCTAATTCGTTAGATTTGATTTTGACAAAACAGAGATTCGTGATGATTTATCGGTCGAATTGTAATCGAGTTTCAGACTAATTAGTCCTCGGATTCACCATTTTCGTTTCGCGCCGTGATTTGCTGAGCTAAGTGTTGATGCAGGCATGGTTTATGGATGATAGCAATGAAGATCAGAGACTTCCTCATCATCGTAACTCAAAAGAGCTCGTCACTGTGGATAACTTGGCAGGTTTTTCAAATCTCTCGCTACTCTTACTTTGCAAACGATTTGCTTTCGTTTTCGCTTTCATATTCGCCTCAGTCTCGTATATGTTTATATTTTCCTTCTGAAACTGCGATTTTGCGTGTATTTGAAGTTGCAATCTGAGTCTGGTCTGGATAAGTTTCTTCTTGTGTGTGTGTGTGTGTGTGTGTTTGTGTTTTCTTTCATGCTTTCTTGTATTGATATGTGATTCTACAAGATACGCATATGTACTAATATATTGTTATTGAACTAAGGAAGTGAACAAATATAAACAAGAAGGGAGATTTATAAAACCATAAACTCTGCTGCAAATTTCTCTAACAATAGCTGTGATGTGTTTTGCAGAGCTTGGAGTGTTGTACTGGAAGTTGAACCCTAAGAAATACGAGAATGATTCTGAACTAGGCAAGATTAGAGAAGAAAGGGGTTACGACTACATGGTACGCGGATTTATGTCTTTTCTGATCACAGTTTTTTGACTCATGCTCACCATAAATGGCCATTGATGTTACATATCATTGCATGTTAATCTCATTAGAGAAACAATTGAAGTAGGACTATTTAATCTTTTGCATAACCAGATAATGAAGAAAAAAGGCTCATGAGTAAACTGAGTATTAGGCTCAAAGCTAGCAACTAATCTTATAGTTAGTCAGTATAAGATTTGAGATTTATGTACATGTTTACATCACACGGTGTCTTCTTCTAGTTAGCTTAGTCTATAGGGAACAATTGTACGGTGTTCTCACAAATTGATGAGCAGAACTTTTACCTGTAATCAATCTTTTATTTTTAGGATTTACTGGATCTGTGTCCTGAGAAAGTTAGTAACTACGAGGAGAAGCTGAAGAACTTTTTCACAGAACACATTCACAAGGACGAAGAGATTCGTTACTGCTTAGCGGGAAGTGGCTACTTTGATGTTAGGGACAAGGATGACCGTTGGATCCGGATCTGGATGAAACCGGGAGATCTCATTGTCCTTCCCGCCGGAATCTACCACCGGTTCACACTCGACACTAGCAACTACATCAAGGTATTGATAAAGCCAAATCTCAATCTCTCTACTAAAGTTTTGTAAAAATATTTGATTGTTCAATCGGTGGTTTGGTTTTGCAGCTAATGAGGCTGTTCGTTGGAGAACCGGTCTGGACACCATATAACCGGCCGCAGGAAGAACATCCGGTTAGGAAGGAGTATATAAAGAGCTTAAACCACAAGTTTCGAGAAAGCATTCAAGCTCATTGAGAAGATGTATGGCTTTGTGGTGTATTTGTAGGTATTGTGTTCACCAGTAAAAACAGAGGCTCCTTCCGAATACTTGTGCTTGTAATACTTTTGCAATATACATATGCTTCAATACCTAAGATATCATATTATTAATTGGCAAACACGTTGGATTATGATTGAAAGTTATCATGGTTGATTACTTTTTATCCTTTATATTAAAAAAATTTATTTACTTTTAATGAAATTAACAGATTAATATAATCTAATTTTTGATTAATTTTTGTTTTTTTAATCTGAAATTCCAAATTTGAGTTTATATATAATAAAAAGTAACTAACATAAATCACAAAAAATTCGATTTATTAATTGGCAAGCAAGTTGGGCTGTGATTGAAAGTTATGATAGTTGATTACTCTTTACCCTTTATATTAAAATGTTTTATTTACCCTTAATGAAATTAACAAATTAATATAATCTAATTTTTGATTAATTTTCGTTTTTTTAATCTGGAATTCCAAATTTGAGTTTATATATAATAAAAAAGTAACTAGCATAAATCACAAAAAATCGATCCTAATTATTTTGTTAAACTAATTTTAGTTTGATTGTTTAACTTAGTAATATTTTTGACTAACCTAATTGATTTATACGGCCACAAGTAAAACCCTGAATTTTTTAAACCTTTTTGAAATTCTGTATATATTAAAACAAAATTTTCAAAATAATCTAGATCAACCGACAGCTGTATGTCTCTCTTTACAACTTTCTTTTTAGATTTCTAATCCTTTTTCAATAAACAGTCGTGAAAGATTTGAAGTTATGGTTTTATTGAGAATTTTGTTTGATGCAACAAAACAACAAAGCATACATATAAATTTTTATCGGATAATATAAAAGATATTAAAAATAAGATATAAATAATATTTTGTTTTATCACAAAAAATATACTCATGAAAATTATATTTTTTTGAATATATTAATTTTGATTTAGAATAATTATAAAATTTAATTTTTTAATCTATAAATAAACTAATATTATTAATTTAAAAAAATTTAATCAACCTCGCACTTGTGCGGGGAAACACGTAGTAATAGTTATTTACTAAAACATAATACCAACATTTAAAGCAAAATTCTAAGAAAAAACAATCAATTGAAAGTAGAAATTATTCAAAATAAGTTTCAATAAAAAAGGGTTTTCTGCTAAAAAACCTTCGAACTAAAATAATTTTGCAAAAATAATTTCTAGTTCTTAAAAATAAGTTTCAATCTTAACCCTAAATAAATGCAAATCAATCTATTCATCTACAAGATCACCCACAATACAGCCTCTTCGTATATCATCGACGTGGATATTTTATGTTCTATTTAAAATATATTTGGAAAATGTAACAACATCATTAACAAATTATCAATATTCCTAAGTTTTTAAGAGAAAATCGCATAAAAAACTTCAAAGATGACAGTTATATACACTTTAAACTTCAAGATTTTTTTAATTAATATTTAAAATTTTGAAATTAATTTCTTAACACATTAAGCCATAGACATAGCTTATTTGATTGCATCGACAATTTATTAGACGGAGCCGTTAACTCAGATAATATAATACGTTGTCTAACGATAGTATAATGGCTCTCTAAAACAAAAATTAAGAAACCCGACTGAAATAGATAAATCAAATCTAAATTTTTTTTACGCTATCCAGAAATCTCAAAATACAAAACCATGAAATTTTAAAACCCATCTTAAATCACTAGACGGAAAGTGCGATTTGCCTCATTTCGTGTTCTTATTTTAAAACCCATCTTAAATAATTAGTGTTCTTATTTTCGTATCGGAGAACCACTATACTGTCACCAAAAAACATATTCAGTTATCTGAACTAACGGCTCCGTCTAAAAGAATATCGATGCAACCAAAGAAATTAGATTGATGGTTTAATATGTTGAGAGAAATATTATGGGCAGTCAGGGAGTTACATGTGGTAACCAAACTGAACCCAGATAAGAGTGTGGAGTCACAAGGGCTCACACCATCGAGGATAATGGTTCTAGTGTGTAACAAGGACATTGCGCTCTATAAGTAGGGGTGAATTGTAACATCCTGATTTTTCGAATATGAATGTATATGTAGAGAGACTTAGGAGAATTGATGTGGCTACCTATGTCACTAAAGTGCATTTACTTTTTTGGTCACTCGTCCTGAGAGAACTCCAAAGTTAAGCATGCGTGGGCTAGAGTAAGATTAAGAGTGACATATCAGAAAGTGATTTCCGTACCATGTGAGTGAGGCCAAAACACGGAGAAAGATCGCATGGTGATTGCAGGATCAGTATATCATGACTGCCGAGTCTCCCGACTAACACACCGTTAATCAGACATGGGTGAGGCGGACATGCCTGACTGAGGACGTGGGACCTCACTGGTAAGGGGTGATCCGGGCGTTACAAATATGATAATTAACCACTTCACATTAGAAAACATTTAGACGTGAAAAATTAAATTGGATTAGATTAACCGTGTAACTGAACGTCTATATTTATTATTTATCTTCCTCTTCTACTACGTCTTCGTAAGAAAGCCTACTCGTTTTCGATGAAACTCGCCTGGTTTTGGCAAATTCTGGAATCGAAGCATGAAGATATACAACCCTGGAATCTATCTTCCCGCCTCCCAGTGTCTGGTCTCTTTAAGCTTGTTTTCGCCATCATCACCACTGGTGCAGATGATTTACGAGACAAAGTCATTCCCAAAGAAAGATTAAAGAAGATAAGTCATAGTCGATGTCATGGAAGTAGACTCCAAGCATTGTGTTAGCTTCTATCTTAAGGCGAGGCTATGGCGGAAAGAAGGACGCTGCAATGGAGTTATATTATACATGTACGTGAGTTTGAGGTTAAGGAAATACTATTGGGATCATGTAACCACTCTCTCTCTCTCTCTCTCTCTCTCTCTCTCTCTCTCTCTCTCTTTTAAGTTTCACCATTATGAGCCTTAAGTTTTGCATAGACGGTTTAAATAATAAAATTTTATATCGATTATCTTTCAAATCGTGAACTTATGTTGACTGGCCATATTTGACATGCCATTGACTGAACGGCGTTTAATCAGTCTGTTATTAACTTTAACATCGTGCGTATTATGACCGAGTCAATATAAATTCGTGATTTAAAAATCGGTCAACGCAAAATTTGTTATTTAAATGAATCATAATAAATAGTGCTTATAAATACTAAAATTTGAAAGTTCGGCATTTAAATGACCATTTTCCTATATTTTAAGTGAAATTACATCATTTTCCAAGTAGTAATGTTTATTCCATATGTTCCTCAAAGTATTGTTTATAATAAACCAAAATTGCAGAGCCATATGAAATAAAACAAATCAGGGACCATCTGCATATGGCCCCTGAAAGTTGTTATCGCAGATGGTCCCTGACATTTGTTTTATTTCATATGGCTCTGCAATTTTGGTTTATTATAGACGATGTAACGCCCATACCGCCCTACCAAGGAGCACCCACGTCCTCTCTCGGGCTCATAGGCCCCATCCTTGTCTGACGGTCAGTTTGTTAGTCGGGAGATTTGAAAGTCATGAAATACTGATACTGTAATCACCACGTGATCTTTCCCTGTGTTTTGTCCTCACTCACACGATTTCGCAAATCACTTTCCGAAAGGACACCCATCATAGTCCTACTCTAGTTCAAGCACCCTTGACTGTGGAGTTCTCTCAGGACCAGTGACCGAAAAGATAAGTGCACATTGATGACATAGGTAGCCATATCAATTCTCTTAAATATCTCCATATATACATTCATACACCTTAAATTGGGATGTTACAATTTACCCCCAATCACTGAGCGCAACGTCCTTATTGCACATCAATACCGTTACCTCTAACGGTGTGAGTCCTTGTGACTCCACACTCTTGTCTAGATTCGTCTCTGATACCATATTATACCGCCCCTACCGATGAGTATACCCATGTCCTCTCTCGGGCTCATGGGCCCCACCCCTGTCTAACAGTCAGTGCGTTAACCGGGAGGCTCGAAAGTCATGTTATACTGACCCTGTAATCAACACATGATCTTTCCCCATGTTTTTTCCTCATTCACACGATTTCGGGAATCACTTCCCGAAAGGTCACCCATCCTAGTCCTACTCCAACTCAAGCACCCTTAACTGTGAAGTTCTCTCGGGACCAATGCTCATAATGATAAGTATACTTTAGTTTATATTGATGAGCAACAAATGGGGAAACAATTTCAGATTGTCATCAAGTTGACACAATCCCAAGAAAATGGAAACTTTAGTAAACAATGGATTGCATTTGATGTCTACAAGGAAAGAGCCAAGATTGTGGTTTTATTGGACAAAGAATTATGGCTTATTTTGGTTGTTTACATACAATACATTGCTGTTCTTTGGATCATTAGTAAAACCACCAGAAATTCAAGTACTTCTATCTCAAAGGGGAGTATTAGATTATATATATTAGTTTAGTTAGTTATTAGTGTGATATCGTGGATTCAAGGACTAAGGAAACCGTGAGTTATGGGTATCACCTTTTGTTAACATTTTGCTGGAAAAGAAGTTTGCATTTATAATAGTCGTGGAAGGAATACGACCCAAGTGGCAGAAATGATGAGAGAGATGGCCATATGGGAAGGAAGAATCCGTTCAATTTTCTAAGAATCAGAGTGGCACAGCGGAAGCACGGTGGCACAACGCTCAGCCTGGGTGTCTTCTATACGATGTTGACTAAGCAAAGATTGCTTGTTAATTGCTGTTAGGTGTTACCTAAATATTAAGGGGTGTGTTTCAAGGTTACATGAGTAAAAGTAAAATAACGCCTAATAGGTTAGGGAATATGGAAAAATTCCTTGAATCATGAGTATATTAGATCATAATCATGATTGAAAAATTTTGCAAGAAAATAATATTCAGTTTGAAGCTGTGGAAGTAAGAAAGAAAGACCATAAGATCTTACTTTAATACAAGTGGATGATCGGGTTTAACCAACTCTCGTAATGAAAATTTGATGCAGAAATGAACTCTTTCTCAAAAATGGTCTATGGAATTTCATTGAAATGGAGTCATCATTATGGAACGACAAATTGTACCAAATTTTCACTGCATAAGGAATATATGCGGGTGTGTTGATGATTTTATCAGAATTGGAGAGTCCAGCATGAATGGGATAAAGTACGGCCCTTTGAAGGGTGGTTAAGCGAAAATAGGGGAGATAGAG